GTAATCATCTGATTAATCAGTCCTAATCTCCCCAAAACCCCAAAACCCCAAAACCCCGCCTGCTCGAATTAAATAAAACAAGTTGAAAATATAAATCGAAATTTAAATAGTTTTTAATTTTTATCATGGAGAGGAAAATCACTAAAAAATCTCTTAATCAGAGATTTTAGAGGAATGCAGCTTAAGTACCTAGAACATCTAAAAGTAGGGATCAAAATAAGATTACATCACCATCTTTTTCAAACATGATTGGTATTTTCATGAACTCTAATGATGCGAGTATGATAAATAGCTTGAGAAAGTCAAGTTAAAGCAGAGATGTTATTGTTAGATCAACTTCTAAGAAAAGACACAGATAAAACTATACTAACTAGCTATCCTAAACCAACTATTAAACAATTTTGAGCAATCAGACTAACTAGCAATAAGAATTTCAATAAAATGATATTAATAATACTCGTCAGCTTTTGAGTTAAAATGAAAATAAATGGCTTTTCAACACATAGCTTGAATTAAATAGCACCTAAAATTTGTAATAAAATTATCAAAATCAACAGCAGGTTAGGGAAATTAGTACAGCAAATATTTATTAATCAAGAGACTTTAGTTAAGGGCAACTTGATCAATTCAGTACATAAAATACAAAAAGTGATATACGTATTAGGAATGTAAGACCATAATCTACTAGGAATAAGCCATAACTAAAGAAATCAAAGTCAAGGTCGAATTCTAATTCAAGACTTTTGCTATATGAAAAGCAGTTGCAATAACAAATTGTAAATAATAGCTCAGCATTGAATAACTACAAGTCATTACTCAATATAAAAAATAAAAGTAAGCAAGAAAGGTAGTCAACCACAACAGCTATGAAATTTAGAAATCTGAAATAGAACTACTTGCCAGCAGGTTCTTTTGTAGAGAATGACCCAATAACTAAGGAAATCTAAAAGCTGATTGCTTATGGCTCTAAAGACATTAAGAGTCAGTCTAAAAAGTTGAAAAAGAATTTGGAAAAGATTCAAGAAGATAGAAGGATAAAGTCTCCAAGTGCCAATACTCATGGTAGTTTTATGATAGAAACAAGTTAAGACCTGCACAGGAAAAACCAGTTTTACGATTAAGAGACGATTCATTATTCTAAAAAGATAGATAAGCTTAAACAGAAAACAGCTCAGGCCTAATCAGATAAGTTAGAGTTGATGAGAGATATAGCCACTTACGAGTCTAATCTTTGCGAGGATTTAAACCTGAGATCTATGTTTAAAATGATGAGAGACAAGGTCATGAAATGCAAGGAGAAATCAACTTAACTTAATAAATCTCACAACAAATTTTAGGAATTTCTTATTGCTACTAAAAATAAACTAGCAATAATAGACGAAACCAAGCGAACTATCAGTTTGCTGATAGAAGAGCCAGATGATTAAATTGGGCTATTTAATATGAATAACCCACATCACGAACATCAGAATCTGCAACTATCTAATCTATAGCTCAAACTAGCATTTCATAGATCAAGTTTGATAACTAATACGATGAACAACCTTGGAGACAATTCAAGAAAAGGAGGTGTAAGTAAGGCTAAGCATATGAGATCTTGCATTTAAACATGAGGTTATCTGGAATACTATGCTAGGTGCAATTTAAAAATAAGAGAGATTCATTTAACATTCGTTGCAATGCTAATGGCCAAATGGGCATCAAGCAATAAGGGAAAGATTGTAAGCTTAAAGTAATAATATCTAAAAAGCTAGACAACCAGAGTTACCACGACATTCTGAAAAATCTGGTGATATGTTTTAACAGCAGCCAAAACAAAATAATGCTTGCACTAAATGAGACATCTATTATGACTAGAGATTGGAAGCTATATAAACTTAAAGGAAAGAATAAATACATTAATGCGAGATTAGCAATAGAGGAGACAACTCTACAAAAAGTTTTGGTGTTTTTCAAGATCGTAAATATGGCTGAGAACTAAACTCTGATCCATGATTCAAACCTATATATAGTGCACTAAGAATATTTAGATGACGACAAGGAGTTCAACTTCAACGACTTCTTAATAAAGGAGCTGAGCGGTAACAGTTTTAAAGTGGTTTATATCAAAGACATAAACGACGACATGGACGACCCTTAAAACCTCAAACTCTACAATAGTGGGAACATAGATGAGATAATAAATTAATCACTTATGGTAGATGAGTTCAAACCCTAAGATATTTTAATGCAGCCAAGTTTGGCTGAATCTATTCCTAGCTACCTGCAGTTGATTAATGAAGAAAAAATAGAAAAGATACCAGAGTAGTCAAGGAACACTGATAAATTAAACGACAAGAGGTTTAGTGAGGATCTTCTAGATGTAAGTGGTTCATACGGTGAACAAATGAGCGATAACAAAAGTTAGGGATAGTTATCCGACAATAACCTTATCATAATAGACAAAAGAAGTAGCTATGGCCCTCTGAGAATAAGAAAATCATCTCAATAATGAAACATTAATTTTTGCTTTATTTAACCAAATCTGCACTATAATTATTGCAGTAAGATTGAAGCACGGGGTTTTGGGGTTTTGGGGTTTTGGGG